TTTTTTTTTTTTTTTTTTAAGAGAGAGAGAGAGAGAGAGAATTTTTTGTTTGTATGTGGTGCTGAGGATCGAACCCAGGCCGCACACATGCCAGGCGAGCGCGCTACCGCTTGAGCCACATCCCCAGCCCCTCATAATAAAATATTGGCAGGAGGAGCCCAGTGAATTATCCTGGCCATTGTGGGTCAAAAAAGGAATTAAGGCCGGGTATGGTGGCACACTCCTGTGATCCCAGAGACTCCAGTGGCTGAGGCAGGAGGATCACAAGTATGAGACCAACCTCAGCAACTTAGACCGTTCTTAAAATAAAAAACAAAAAGTGCTGGGGATGAAGCTTAGTGGTAGAGTTCCTGGGTTCTCTCCCCGGTACTGGGGGGGAAAAAAAGGAATAGGAATTATGGTGGATGGAGTATAGCCCAGTGGTAGAGAGGTTCAATGTATGAGGTTCAATTCCCTGCACCTCAAAAAAAGAAAAAAAAAAAAAAGACTTATAAGGTATAAAGGCCAAGCCAGGGGCACTGGTAGGTGGTACCTGTGATGGTACCCTGAAGATGACTGCCCTGGCCCTAGGTGTGTGTTTGCTGTGGAGCTGGGAAAGTGTATTTCATGATGCTTTTTTTTTTGGTACTGGGGACTGAACCCAGGCGTGCTCTACCACTGAGCCACATCTCCAGCCCCATTTATTTATGTTTGTTTATTTATTTGTTTAGAGACAGGTTCTTGCTAAGTTGCTTAGGGCCTTGCTAAATTGCTGAGACTGGCTTTGAACTTGTGGTCCTCCTGCCTCAGCCTCCCAAGCTGCTGAGATTACAGATTTTGCATCCTTGAACCAAATAGTTTGTCTATTTCAAAAGAATTTCTCTATTCTCAACTTAGGATCTATGTATAGTGCAGGTCTCAGATTTTTCCATTTGTAGATTAGATATAATATATACCTTGGCTGTTTATGATATGGCTCATGCGTTCGTTCTAAAGCTAGTGGTCAGTGAGGCACAGAAAAGCCAAAAAGTATTAGTACTGGGGACGGAACCCAGGCCTTGATGTGTTTTCACACATGGAGAATCACACAGTATCACTCAGCTACATCCCCAGTCCCTTGATGTGTTTTCAAGATCCAGCTGATGGGGACCGAATACTGGAAATGAAGGGGACAGCAGTTAGTATCATACTGGGCTGCATTGGGAGCTGGGGACAACAGGAGAGAAGCAGCCAGATAAAGGCTGGGAAGGGTCTGGATGGAGCCAGGTGGGTGATGGGTGGGAGGGGGTTCTGACCTGGTCTGAAAAAGCTCTCAGGAAGTGACATTTGGCCTAAGTTTTTCTTTTTTAATACTTTAATATTAATTTTAAAAAATGTATATTGATGCATTATAATTATACATATCAATGGGATTTGTTATATAGTCATATGCATACAACATAATTTAGTCCATTTCATTCCCAGCTGCCTCCCTTTTTCCTCCCTACTCCCTGCCTGCTGAGTTTTGAGGGGTGAGAATTCACTGGTTGAGCCTGGTTTAGTCAGAAAGATCAGCATGTGCAAGGGTCCTGAAATGGAAGAGTTTGATGCAAGTGAAAATGGACCACCTGGCCAGCGCAGTGGTGCACGCCTGTAACCCAGAAGCCTGGGAGGCTGAGGCAGGAAGATTGCGAGTTCAAAGCCATCTTCAGCAAAATCGAGGATCTAAGCAACTGAATGAGACCCTGTCTCTAAATAAAATACAAAATAGGGCTAGGGATGAAGCTTAGTGGTCAAGTGTTCCTGAGTTCAATCCCCAGTACCCAAAAAAAAAAATTGCTGCCGATGCAGCTATGCGGTAGAGTGCTGCCCGCGTGCCTGAGATGTACAAGATCCTGGGTTCAATCCCCAGTACCAAAAAATATAAGTAAATAAAATGGAAGGAAGCTAATGGTCAGTGAGGCACAGAAAAGCCAAAAAGTGGAATGAGATCAAGTTAGACCCTTCACACAGGGATTTGTGGGCTTAGCTGTGTCTTTCAGTCTTTATCCTGAGGGCACTGGGGAGCCACAGAGGGTTCATGAGCAGGATAGTTGACAGTGATATAATCTAGTTCACAATTGATGAAACTGACTTTATGGGAGAAGAGGCTGCCAGGGTAGACAGAGAATTGAGAAAGAAGGCTTGGGGGCCTGGGGATGTGGTTCAAGCGGTAGCATGCTCGCCTGGCATGTGTGCAGCCCGGATTCGATTCTCAGCACCACAAACAAAGATGTTGTGTCCTCCGAAAAACTAAAAAATATTAAAATTTTCTCTCTTTAAAAAAAAAAAAGAAAAGAAAGAAGGCTTGGGGACAGGGCTAGTCCCTAACACCCACCCTACTCTCTGCAGGCCCTGTGTACCAAGGTGCCAGAGTTGATCAGAACCATCATGGGCTGGACGCTGGACTTCCTCCGAGAGCGGCTACTGGGCTGGATTCAAGATCAGGGTGGTTGGGTGAGACACCTATCAACACCTCCCTCCTCTGGGACCTTTAGGCCCTCCTGAGGGCCTGCCCCAGGGTATTCCTTCCCTTCCCCTTTTCACATCAGGTCTGGTCAAGAACATTTTACGTGTAGATCAGTCCAGTTCTTCTGGAACCCGCTGACCACTCTGTGGCCCGTAACTGGATTCTTGCTTTCGTGCCTTCCCATTGCTCTGGAGTCCCTCAAGTTCACTGATGATCCTTTGACCAAGGTCTTTAATACCCACCGTCCATCTTTTTTTCTTTAGTTGTATATGGACACAATGACTTTTATTTATTTATTTTTATGTGGTGCTGAGGATTGAACCCAGTGCCTCACACGTGCCAGGCAAGGGCTCTACCGCTGAGCCCTAGCCCCAGCCCCCATTTTAGGCCCTTGTCCCCACTCATACCCTCTGTTCTCAGTCTCCCTGATGGCCCACATGCTGGTCTAGAGGTTGACCTTGCTGAGTTCCTGAAGCGATGTCTCTGTCTCCAGGATGGCCTCCTCTCCTACTTTGGGACCCCCACGTGGCAGACAGTGACCATCTTTGTGGCCGGAGTGCTCACCGCCTCACTCACCATCTGGAAGAAGATGGGTTGAGGCCACCAGCTGCCTTGGACTGTCTTTTCTGCATAAATTATAGCATTTTGGGGGGAGGAATGGGGATTGGGGGATGTAGGCATTTTTCTTACTTTTGTAATTATTGGGAGGGGTGGGGAAAGTGGCCTGGTGGAGGTGGGGGACAATAAACTTCCTTCAGGCCACACTTTGGTGTCTACATCACTGGCCCAGCAGCCTTCCTGGCTGGCATCAGGGTGCAGGCTGCCTAACAGCCTGGCCTCCTTAGCCCTCTAGCCACTGTCCTGGAGGTGTCTGTGCCGGGACTTGCGTGTTCTCCACTCTCCTCTTTCTCTGGGGGTGCCCAGTGCTATCTGGATTAGGGATGAGTCAGTCCCCCAGTTCCTGTTGTCTAGGAGCCTGAAGTCCTAAGAGGAACCAAAGCTGCCCCATGATTCTGCCTGTGGCGACCCAGGGTGAAATATGTGCTGACAGACCAGTGCTGGTCAAGGTCTGAGCACAAGGGGGCCTTCCTCCTGGCCTGAGGTTTCACAACTGGGAGCCCAGGAAGTTGCCAGTTTACTGAAGTGGAGAATAGGGTGGAAGGGATAAAGGACCGGAGGACTCTGGGGCATTGTGGGAAGTTGGGAGACAGATGGGGGTTTAAGGGAGAAACCCAGACCTCTAAAGTATGGCTGTGGAGGTGCACGGGACTGGGACGAGGCTGACACAGACTGAGGCTGAGGCAGCAGAGCCTGGGGCTGGCCCAGTGACTCCCTGGGCCCTCCTGGTCCTCAACTTCCAGGTAGCACACAAGTTGGACCCTTGGGGTTTGGTGGTGCACACCTATGATCCCAGCAACTCAGGAGGCTGTGGTAGGAGGATTGTAAGTTTGAGGCCAGCCTCAGTAACTTGCGAGAGCCACTATCTCAAGAACTGGGAATGTAGCTCAGTGGTAGAGTGCCCCTGGGTTCAATCCCCAGTATGGCCATCAAATAATAACAGCAGAGGCACTGGGGAGTAAGGAGAGAGAGTGGGACCCACCCTAGGGAGTCAGTATTCTGCCTCTCTGGGTCTTTGTCTCCCCACCCCAAGATCTCCTGAACCCCAAGTTTTCTGTCTTCCTCCCAGCACCTTTGTTTCAGTCCCTCTTCCACCTGGAGGCCCCTTGCAGGTGTCACGCCTGGGCCTGCCTGAGGCTAAAGGTCATCAGGCTGAGGTCTGAATGCGGTCAATGAGTAACCAGCAATCAAGCTGGCGCCCTGGGCACTGCCCCTCCCCTGACTCTCCCCATAGACACCAAGTCAGGGGAAAGATATGAGGGAAGACAGCCACCAACCAGAGAGACAGGACAAGGTAACCACAAGCAGGATCCCCAGGAAAGAACATCAAGAAAACAGAAAATAAGACCTGGAGACAGTGCACAGGTTTCCATCAGTGTGGGGTAGGAGGCCGGACCTGGTTCTGCCAGGCCTTTCCGTGAGGGTCGCAAGCACAAGGCCTGAACCCGCGGAGGGGATGAGGTCAGCGAGCTGCCCCGCCCCGTGCGCCGCGGAGCCCCTTCCCGCGCTGAGCTCAGCGTGACTCAGCACTGCTCTCGCCTGGCCGCCCGCCCAGACGCCCCTTGAGGACCGATACCTGCCTGGCCCCCATATCTGGGGATCCCAATGTCAGCTCCCCTGCTTGGGCTGCTTCTACTGCCTCAGGACTGCAAAGCAGGCCCTGAGCGCTCACCCACGCGCCAAGTGGCTTCAGCTCCCAGGGCTCCTGCATTATGGTCAAGTTCTCTACTCCAAGATCAGGGTCCTGGTATGAACCAGTCCTATCAACATGGACCGGGCACACTTCAAAAAGTATGTTTGACCAAAGATAGACACCCTGTCTGTAGGTCCTCAGACCTTGTTCCTGCAGGACCCAGGGCTGTGCTTTGTGACTGAAGGAGCTGGTGTCAGGGAAGACTCTTGGACAACTTCAGAGACACTGCTCCAGGGCAACGAATGCTCAGAGCCTCTGGAGTTCCCTATAGAAGAGTCCCCAAGGAAAGCCAGTCTCAGAGAGTCGCCCCCAAAGAGCAAGTCATTTCCTTCCTCTCCATATCTCTAATCCCAATAAGATACTGCGCCCGGGAAACAGCTCCAAGAGGCCCAGTCTACTCAGGACTCCAAAGGGCTGGCCAGCCTTCCACGTGTTGCTCCACCTTTTCAAAACGCCCGTTAGGATTCCAGAAACACACACACACACACACACACACACACACGCACACGACCCCCACAAAACAAAAACAAAAAAACCTGCCCTTCCCATCTTGCAGATCACTTAAAGGGCTTAAAGTCCCCTGGAGGGCTTGGTAGCAACACCGACTTCTATCATGAATGCGACCCTCCCAGTGAAAATCCAAGGGTTCCAGGTACTTCCCACCCCATTTCTCAAAGATCCCCAGGGTTCCCAAAATACCACCTCACTGCCTTCCAAACTTGGAGACCCTTTGTTGTGCAGAGCAAACCCCAGACAACTGGAGGTACCCTGGTACCTCTGAGGTACCCCCTCTTCAGGACACCAGAAAGAACCACTTTCTTAGAAACAACCTTAGAAGCCGACTTGTTTCTTCAGACACCCCAAGACTTCAGTCATCACTTCATTAATCTCCCTCTTTCCTGAAAGACCCTCTGAATCCCTTTATTTCCCAGGATCCCTTCCACCAATCCCTCCCCCCCCAACCCTCGATTTCACAACAGCCAGGCGCTCCAGGCGCGTGACTTCCCCACCCCCGGGAGGGGGCTTAAACTCCTATCTGCTTGTCATTGGTCAGGCCCGGCCTTCAGGCCCCGCCTCCCGCCCGCGCAGATTGGCTGACCTCCCGCCCTAAACGCCCCACCTCCCGGCGCCAGCGCACTATAAAGCAAGCCGCCCTGCCCGCAACCTCAACCAACGAGCCTGGAGGTCCCACGGATCTGCTTCTTGCTTCAACAGTGTTTGGACGGAACAGAGCCGGGGACTCCCTTTTCTTCCAGCTTCCAACCGCATTCCAATCTGATCTCCATTTGCAATCTCCGGGACCATCTGTTCGCCCAGGACCTGCTTCCAGGACCAGCCAACTCTGTTTTTTGGGGTTAGCTCCTTCTTGACGACCAACCATGACCTCCCAGATTCGTCAGAATTATTCCACCGAGGTGGAGGCTGCCGTCAACCGCCTGGTTAATTTGCATTTGCGCGCCTCCTACACCTACCTCTCTCTGGTAAGGGTCTCTGGTGAGGGGACCCGGGGCGCCGTGGGCCCAAGTTTCCCCTAACTGCGCACCTCTGGCCTCTGCGCATGCGCCAGCCTTCTTTGTTCCGCTGGAACTCGGAGGGCGGAGTCCGCTCGGCTGGTGTCGCCTCGTGGCAACCCTAGCTTTCTCCATGTCTTCCCGCAGGGCTACTATTTCGACCGTGACGATGTGGCTCTGGAGGGCGTGGGCCACTTCTTCCGCGAGTTGGCTGAGGAAAAGCGCGAGGCCTCCGAGCGTCTCCTCAAGATGCAAAACCAGCGCGGCGGCCGCGCCCTCTTCCAGGACGTGCAGGTAAATACCGCGTGTGGAGAGCGGACTACAACTCCCTGGAGGCCGTGCGCGCCCTTTGAGGGGTTGTGGGGGCTTATGGGAGGTCGAGTTGGGTCTTGTGCGGGTTTATTGTCGAGGACCGGGAGGCGCGGAGAACTCCCCCAGACGCCACGGTACCGGCCGCTTGGGGTCTAGGTCCAGGTTTTGGGGACCTGTAGCTGTTAGAAACGGGGGGTGATGAATGCAAAGCTCTGTGGGCCAGATCCCTGATCCTCGACAACTGCTGGGAGTTGTAGTGGGGGTGAGGGATGGGTGGCCAATCTGAAATGTTTGTCTTCTCTTCAGAAACCTTCTCAAGATGAGTGGGGCAACACCCTGGACGCCATGGAAGCTGCCTTGGCTCTGGAGAAGAACCTGAACCAAGCCATTTTGGATCTTCATGCCTTGGGTTCTACCCGCACAGACCCACATGTAAGTACTCCCCTGTCTTTTGCCTGGGCAAATAACCCCCAAGCCTCCTTCCCACATCTGCCTTTGTTAGCAGAGGCAGCTCTCCCTCTTCTCCAGAAATTGGACTTCTAATTTCTCCTGTCCTCTCTCTTAGCTCTGTGACTTTCTGGAGAACCACTTCCTTGATGAGGAGGTGAAGCTCATCAAGAAGATGGGGGACCACCTGACTAACCTCCACCGTCTGGCAGGCCCCCAGGCTGGCCTCCAGGCTGGCCTGGGCGAGTATCTCTTCGAAAGACTCACCCTCAAGCATGACTAGAGGCCCTGGAGTACAGTGGCCTTTGATGGGGCTCCTTTGCATCTCCTGGCATCAGGGCTTTGGCCTGAGCTTCTCCCTCTAACCCCTAGGCAGCTTTTTAACCACCATGGAGCCCCTCCCAAGCCTTGGACCAAATAAAAATTAAAGCTTTTTCCAGCACCTGATGGTTTTGTGTGTGTCTGTTCTCAACACAATAGATAAGAACAAACAAGGGCCTTGACTGCAACTTGTTTGTTTGTTCTTATCTATTCTGTGGCAGGATTCCATTTGTTGGGTATGTTGCAGTCAAGGCTTCTCAGTTTGTCTGGCTCAATGTTAACCGCTCCTGCCAGACGGTGAAGCCAGCCTCCAAGGAGTCTTAACATACAGACCTTGAGGTTGGTAGCTGGAAGCAGACACTGCTAGAACTCCGCCACCTGACCATGTGTCTTAGTAGGAATTGGACATAGGGTTTTGCTGAGTCCTCCAGGCTTGCATCAAACTAGGAGTTGCTGGGATTACTGGCCTGCACTGCTTCAGTCAGCTTTTTTTCTAGTGTCTGGCACTCCTAGATATGAATTCTACCTCTGAGCTATACCCCCAGTTCCTGGAATGGCTCTGTTCAACGAGTAATAGAAGTTAGGTATCAGACCAAGATCTTAAAAATTGAAGACAAATCCCAGAGGCTGAAGCAGGAGGATCACAAGTTTGAGGTCAGTCTTAGCAATTTAGCAAGGCTACAAGCAACTTTTTGAGACCCTGTATCAAAAAATAAAAAGGGCTGGGAATGTGGCTAAGTGGTTAAGGCCCCTGGGTTTAATCCCTGATTAAAAAAAAAATA